ACAGAGCACACCTTTCAGTCAGTGGGTACACAAGGCTCCTAAATAGCACAAAAGTAAAAGAAGTAGTGGATTTATTTTATTTCAATAGCCTTTGTAATAACTTTATCCCATTCATGAAAAGAAATGTCACAGTAATAAACTGTGTCATAATAAATACACAATACTTTTGACATTATTTACATTTATGTGCTGTGGGTAAAAGGTGCATTTTAATCTGGCTACCACCGCAAGTGTATTTCATACCTGTTTGAAGCACTTAAGTATGCAATTTTTGGACAGAGCCAATGTTTTTTTCACATCTAACTCATCCTGACTTTGTCCTGTGGAAATAAATAACACAAATCCAAAACATCCATATGCTCAGAAAGGTTTTCTACCCAATCAAAGCTATTTTAGTGCGCAAACTAACCAAATAATTAATCAAAAATAGATTTATGTAGCCATCTGAGTCATCATCTGTGGATCAGATTATCATACAGACCAGGTCTCCTTTAAGTGGTCACAGTAGGCAGAGACCTAGCAATCACAGAGTGCCTTGGCAAGCATGAGGCAACACCTGTGTTGGCTGCTTTTGCATCGATCATTTCTTCAGAATATGTAAATACCTAGTTTTTCTTACCAATATTCCAGCTTGTTCCACCTCCTGTGGCAGGACGAGCTGGTAAAAGTGGTCTGTGATTGGACAGCTCAGTTTTTTCCTCTATACCTCTCTTTCTCTGTTTTTTTTTTTTACTTTCTCCTGTTGAATAATTCATCTCAGCTTCTGAGTTGATGTCTTGCCTTTAACAGGCCAGTCCCTCACATCCATTAGCATAAAATACATCTTTAACTTTGTTCTCAGTGTCTCTGTAAGGGATCTTTCATAAAGTGCTTCTGCCTAGTTGCTTCCTCATTGATTTCAGCTCTCACTCAGATTCTTGAACCAGCTATTGCAAACGCAATTTTTAGCCATGTCACTTGCGTGTTTACACCTCTCTAGTGTAAAACTATCACCTCTGCATCTGTTCTCCACCCCCAGTCTCCTCTAAAGACCTTTCATAATGGCTTTTGGCAGCTCGTCTCCTAAATGTTAGACCTGCTAGCTCTCTCTCTCTCTCTCTCTCTCTCTCTCTCTCTCTCTCTCTCTCTCTCTCTCTCTCTCTCTCTCTCTCTCTCTCTCTCTCTTTCTCTCTCTCTCAGCAGGCTGAATGCAGAACTGCTTGCTACCCTTGGCAGCTATGAGTTGTGACAGTGCTAATTGGCTCCTCCCTCGCTCTTCCATGATACTAAATTCAGCGAGTGTACAGTAAATGGCACATGACGCCACTGCATCCAGTGCACTGGACACTTCCTGTTTTTTTTTCTGAAGAAAAAAAAAAGAAAGAGGGAATATAAATATCATTCACAGAAAGTTAGTTGATGAATGTATGGTTTGAGGGATAAAAAAATGAATGGATGGATGGATCGATGGACATTTTGACGGACGGACTAATGAATGGACGGAAAGATGGATGGATGGATGGATGGATGGATGGATGGATGGATGGATGGATGGTTGGATGGATGGATGGATGGATTGATGGGTGGATGGATGGATCGATGAATGGATTGGACAGATATTTAGATGGGTGAGAGGGTGGATGGATGTAAGTATAGGTGGATGAATAGACAGATGGATTAAAGGACAGATAGATATCAATAGACAGAAAAACTATATAGATAAAGAGATAGATTGGATAGATGGAGAGATTTGAATACAGATTAACAGATATATGGATGGATGGATGGATGGATGGATGGATGGATGGATGGATGGATGGATAGATGGAATGATGGGTGGATGAATAGACCGAGATGGATTAATGGACGGATAGATATCAATACATAGATTAACTAGATAGATAAAGGGACATTTTGACAGATAGAGGGATTTACAGATAGATTAACAGATATATAGATGGATGTGTGTATTGTTGAGTAGACAGAGGGATGAATTAATGTACAGAGATATCCATACATAGAATAACTAGATCAATAAATAAATACATGGATGGAGCAGTGGATGGATGGGTGGACAGATGAAGGGTGGATAAATCAATTTATATTTACATAAAAAAAAAAAAAAATTAGACGGGTGAGTGGATGGATAGAGGATAGATAAATCAATTATTTACATATAAATATAGATGGATTAACAGATAGATGGATAGATATAGCATGAATGGATACACAAAGGATGGCTGGAGGTATGTGCAACCCCCTATCCATAGCTTAATCCTAGTGGCTGTCTTGTTAATATTCTGTTTCAGTCCATGTCTTCGATATTTCTACCCTAATTCCTAGTGCTCCCTCAGACGTCGACACAGATTGTTTACATGTTTTGTTGTAGGTGCCCATTACCAGCCATTACCAGCACAAATGACTCCCAGCCTGTCAGACAATCACACTTTACACACACATTCACTCTGCAGAGTCATTAGCTGTGTCAAAGTGGAACACACACTCAATGGCTGTGTTTATAAGTGATTAGGTGTGTGCTGGTGTGTGTCCACGCTGAATAAACGCCAGAAAAACATGCTTGCTTGCACATTTTTTTATTGTAATGGGGGTCCGTGTCAAGCCTGAATACACTTTCATAGCAGCATTCAGGCACATTAGAAGACAGAGCTTTAAACAGAGTAGCCAAAAACGGCATAACAGGGCAAATAATAACTGTCTTCTCTTGTCTCCACTTGAATGGGTTTTCACTAATCTAAGAGTTTACACTTGGCAAATTAGAAAAGTTTTGTCATTTGCAAGGAATTTTTAAAGTTGCTTAGTTTAGTAACTGTCGTAATCAAAGTTTAATACATTTTACAAGTACTTCTTCTCCATCCACTAGCAGTGTATGCAAGCTCTTTCATGTAAAGTTTTTGTTTTATGACAACAGGGTTCTCAGTCCCTGATAAAGCAAACCTTTAAATGACTGATTTGAAAAAATATTTTTGAAACGCATGAATGATATATGTTTAATTTACAAACATGCACAATTACTTGTCAACAAAGATAATAGTGGACTACAGGACCATATCCAAGTGACATTTACACCAACTGGCATGCATAATATATGGCATGCCACCGACCGAATAATTCAAAAAAAAGGAAAAGATTTATTAAAGAAATTTAAAGAAATTTTTTGCATCAAATGCAAAAAAAAAAAATTAAACAAAAAAATGGTGCTGGAGACCGATTAGGCAGGCCAAGTCACGCAACTAGCGCAAGCTTCTCTTGAGGGAACAAATGAGGAATTCTTTTATCCTACGCTCATCACCTGCAACGCAGCACACCTGTAATGCACTTCAACCTGCGCACATGAGGAACAAGTGACCTCAAGACAATAGCGCCATCTAGTGGACATCCCAGCATCAGCAAAATAAAAGAAAAAAGAAACCTGTAACAAATGTGTATTATTAAAGTGCCTTTAAAGCTAGACATTCTACTCATCTTCCTCTTGATGATGATCATCTGATTGCGCTGCTCTTCTGAAGTAATCCACAACTTGATCTTGATGGTGAATCTCCTCCAGAAATGACAGTGACTCTTTGTTTAAAAGTTTGTGGGCGTTAGAGTACTTGCTGTCATTTGACGTGCGTTTGACTGTACTTCGCATTCGTTTCATACAGATTACAAAACCAGAAAAACTTATCAAATGCACTGGGTTCATTTAAAAGTACAAATTTGAAGCTTTATTTCTTATGACTGTGAAGCAAGTGTTCGCTGAGATTCCAGTGCGTTTGTTGACCACCAAACTGTCATAAAAGCACTAGTCTGATTCAAGCTTTCCCCCGGAGACTTCCAGCAGCACCCATATCTTGTCTAGCAGCAACACTCCTATGTCATCTGTTGTTGCTTGGTGACCTTCAACCATTTTCCCAGAGTATGTTAAACTGACAAAACATTACTGCAGCTCTGATACAAGTTTTGCTTTGGAGAGAATTAAAACGCACTGCAGTATTTGCGGGTGTTGTGTTTGAGGTAATTAGTCTACCGAAATAAGTATATTCCATACAATGTACAAAGATGATTGGTCGGTTCTTCACACGTGACTCATGGCGTTCTGAAAATTTTCAACTGCATGTGCCTGGAATATGCGAGTGCTGCTTCACTTGCGCCGCTTCCAAAATGCACAAGTCAAATTTTGAATGATTGTTTGACTAAAGATGTATTGTTATTTTTAATAAAGGGCATAGTTTGCCCAAATATGAACATTTGCTCGCCATTTACTTAAATGATTCTAAACTATTCTGAATTTCTTTTGTTTTGTTGAATGCATAAGATATTCTCTTTCACAGGATTACATTTATTTTACATTATCAATTTCAATATCCAGTCGTTTATGTAACGAGTATGTCTCAAACATTTATTTGATTTGTTAGGAGTATTTCTGAATGTCTCCAATAGACCTAAAGAATGTCACTGATGTGCCCTGAAGTAAAGTGAAACGGTCATATAAATAAGTAATAAATTATAATCATAGAAACTGTTTTCTTGAAGGTAGTTATCTATCCTAACTGAAAGGCGCTCCCATCAGTCAGTCAGTGTGTATAATCTTAAAGCGTTAAGCAAATAACGCACCACTACTACGATTACAGAAAAGTTTGCTCAATTATAATTCACTTGCTTTTTATTACGTTTTGGTTCAATGATAAATCAGTATAAAAATACCAGCAACGACTGAATGTTTTGAATGAGAAGCTGACATGTAGATGTGGTGGGAATACATTTTGGTGTGTCGCCTCGCCATGGCAGAATGAATGTAGTGGAAACAATGCCATAGTAGGGCAAAAATACCCAATGGCCGTTTTCTCCCATCATTCTTTAGCATATTCACCTTCATGTTTAACAGAAGAGAATAATTCAAACAGGTTTGGAACAAGTAAAGAGTACTCTCTTTTATCCAGCTAACCTCAAACTTTTGACAAATGTGAAGCTGAAATCTCACCTTTATTGGTTTCCCCTTGTTTCTCTCTGTCTATCTGCAGATCACACATCTGTTGGTGGGCTGGGTGATAGTTTCTATGAATACCTCCTGAAAGCCTGGCTGATGTCTGACAAAACCGATGCCGAGGCTCGCAAGACCTACGACGATGCCATCGAGGTGAGGGCTGCTGGCCACTGTGTCATCTTTTGTGTTGTTCTGTGCTGCATTGATGCATCTCCGTTCATTTTCTCTTTCTCTCTCTGTCTCATCCTGCAGGCCATCGAGCGCCACCTCATCCGTAAGTCTAACGGGGGCCTTACTTTCATCGGGGAGTGGAAAAACGGCCACTTGGAGCGCAAGATGGGTCACCTGACCTGCTTTGCTGGCGGCATGTTTGCCCTTGGGGCTGATGGCTCACCAGATGATAAAGCTGGACACTACCTGCAGCTCGGGGCAGAGATTGCTCACACCTGCCACGAAAGCTATGATCGCACTGGTTAGTGGATAAAGAGGGGCAAGAGAGGAACAAAGAGTATAAACAGGGTTCCTGAGGATTTCTAAAAAGTCTATTTGGTTGTTCAAATTTAAGGTCTTATTTTTTACTATGTACAGGTCGCACGTTGTGGGTGATGCTTAGATTTAAAAATATTTAAACGTTTTACTAATTAACATGAAAGAATGGTTTCATATCATTTGATCTTTCTATTCATAGGGCTTTGCAATATGTATTTTCAATGATTATATAATTATTGTTTAAAAAAAGGTGTGCGTGATTTGTGCAGTTATTTGTAAGATGCACATTGGCTCTGTAGCCTCTTTTCCATTGCATTGCACTGCACAGTGAAGTTCGGTTTGGTTCAGATTTGAACTGCTCTGTTTGAATTACCACTGCAGTTTACTAGTACAGTAGGTGTGAATTTCACTATAGTTGTGCCGCCTCTACTGCCCTGACTTTCTGAAAAACATTTTCATTCTGGGTCTTTCCATCAAGCTCCTGCTGGATCCGCTCCTCAGACACAAATGAGAGGAATTTCTGGATCTTGTCTGCTGACCAATATGCTTACATTTCAGGTGTCTTTTTCTTGCAGTGGTATTGAAATGGTTTAGTTGTGCAAAGCAACAATACAGCAGTGGCTGCTGCTGACTATTTAGGTAAAGGGGGTTTGATGGTTACTTGAGGAAATCCAATGGCGCTGTAGCGACGATCAATAGCTGATCAGCAGTATTTTGTTAACGCCATTTTTCGGTTGGAAAATCACCTGAGGTGTTGCTTAAAAAAGTACCAGGTACTAGGTACAGAACACAATGAAAAAGCTCCCAAAAGTAACCATTGTTGTACCAAACTGTGCTGTACTATGCAATGGAAAATATCTTGTCTTGATTTATGTTTTTTTCATATGATGTAGTTATATCACAGAATCATAGGAGCGAGTTTTTCATTTTTATGTAAGATTCAGCTCAATTGTTGATGTGATGTTTTACTACAGCTTAAAAAGCAAAAATCACCATTCACCTATTTTAATGCAGAATTTTGACATGCGCATAAAAAAATGGAAGATGGAAATGCCAAGATGGGCATACACTTTGAAAATGTGCATAAAAAACTTATGCACTTAACTGAGTAGGGCAAACTTTTTATTTGATAAGAAAAGATGCACAGGAAATATGATAGAAAGACTTTTACCAAACAAATTCCAGTATGTGTATTAAAAAAGGTCATGTGATTTTCTTATAAAAGATCATGTGATGATCTCCAACCAACCAGCAGGCTGAGAACATTGTAAAAATATCTGAAACACCTTAACCATTTTAGTATTATTGTATATTATATTATTTTTTTGTTTATAATATTATTTTATATTATATTATGTATATTATATTATTAGTTACCTCTGGAACTGTCATAAGAATCAGCGCTCCGTGTCTCATACCTTCAAACGCTACGACGTGTTCATTGCGTGTCGGCATCGTCTTCTGATTCGCAAGTAATTTAATAAATAAGGAAAATATTTGTTTTTGTTGTTGATATTTGGCGCCAGTTTATCAGGAAGTGACTATTTTGTCCTCTATGTCTTGTTGGATGGAAATGCTGCTTTATTCACACATCTTTTATGCGATAGTTCAGTTTTTTTATTCACATTTTTGGATGGCAGCATAGCTACTGTGGGTTACTTTTAAACATAATAGATGACATGATTTTTTTTCACAAAATGTCAACAAAATTTAATCCAAGTACAATTTTTTTTTTCTGCTCAATGAATAATTTGATTTACATTTTTGTTAAAGACGCTGTCTTGCCTCCACCTGCTGGTGGCTTTACTTTAATATTTAAAGTAACTTTTATTATGAAAAACTTTAAACTGTCATGTGTACAAATTTCAAATGTACACACTGAATTTAAAAGAAATTTCTAGCATTATGTGTGCAAATTCACTGTAAATATCTTAATGTTCAAATGCCTTCTATATCATCTAACTTTTATCGACAAATTCTTCCGCATTATACATATATAGACCATTTTGAGGGATGTAAACAAAAACATTGATCTCAACTGATTTCCTGTTTTACATTTTTCATTTTTATTACTTTCGAGAATCCAAAAAGAATATTGATAATGTTATGATAGCTGCATTAACGTGAAGTTATGATTGAATTGCCTTTTGTTACCGTTATGAAATAGTTTGAAAACAAGCAGTAAATATTCATGGGTCAACGACATGACCACATTGAAATGGACTACAGTATATAGTAATATTGCACACCCCTAATGTAGTCAAGTTTTGTTTATTCGAGTCTTAAACAAAAATCACTGAAGAAAAATGCTTGAGATTATTGGGATTCTAATTTTTGTTGCCATGATAACACCACACAGGTTATTTCAAGATTGTGCCATTTCTATTTCACACATCTTGACTGAGAGGCGTTGATGGATTGCAGCTCAGCCATCACAAGCACTCAGACAGATAGTTTCATGTTTATAGTACCACGAGGGGCCGAATGTTCAGCTAATAGCGCTGACCGCTTGAACCTGTGATTGTTTGCAGTGCTAAAGCTCGGTCCGGAGGCCTTCAAGTTTGACAGCGGACTGGAGGCTGTGGCTGTGAGACAGAACGAGAAATACTACATCCTGAGGCCAGAGGTCATCGAGACGTACTGGTACATGTGGAGATTCACCCACGATCCCAAATACAGGCAGTGGGGCTGGGAAGCAGCGCAGGTCAGCAGCTTTTCCATCTTTATCAGAATGAATGAAACGCAGTATCTCTGAAAGTGCTGCTGTGAATCTCTTATAATGATGTGCATTCATGGATTAGACATCTTCTCAAGACATTTTTGATAAAATATTTTGTCTAACACCTGAGAAGCATTTTAAAGGAGATGTTTCCCCTCCCCATTTAAATAAAAGAATAAAAGCTTTGCAGATGAACATTTAAAGAGAAGCAATCATAAATGTTAGTTTTGTTTTAGTATTATTATCCTTATGCGTCCCACTTTATATTAAATGTCTTTAATTGCATGTACTTAGATTAAATGAATAAATACAATAAGTATTACTAAGTTTATAATGTATGGCATAACACTATGGGTGTTATTTAGGGTAAGTTTAGGGACATGTTTGCTGGTATGTGTATGTTTAGGGATGGTTAAAGTTAGGCATGGGATAATAAGTTTCAAGGTATACCACAGTTTGGAAAAGTCAAGGTTTTAAAACCACCCAACTTTTCTGTTATACTGTTCCTACAGTATTTTTTAAGTTATTTTTTTCTTTATAGGACAACAGTGTCTGAAAAGATATAAAAATTGTTTTAAAAAATCTGTTTTTGAAGCTAATGAAGACAGCAGTAGTCAATGATTTATTTAAATTATTTAGCATGTTTACTGTTACAAAATATGTTAAATGTTTCTCAAAGGGAAAAAAGATTTAGTTTTTTACCCAGACATTTCAAAATTATATATTTTAGTGATCACAATACCTTAAAACTGTTAGAATTTTATACAAGGTTACATACCGTCAGAAATATATATTAACTCATGCCTAGTAGTGCCAATAGTGTAATTACAAATTTAATTGCAAAAATTAATTGCAGTGTAATTACATGCATGTATTTAACTAAGCTTAATCATTGTAACAACTGATTAATTTCAGTGTAAGTACATATTGAAACACTCAATATAAAGTTGGACCAACTTATGGCATAAAATAAATTGATTAGTATGAAATGCTTACTGTATTAAAGTAATATTTTATATATAGTATAATTTTATAATTTATATATTTAACATCTTATAACAATAATTAAATACCTTAGATAAAATTACAGCTTTTGAGTTTAATCGTTATAAGTATCATATGAAAATTATATACCAGTGTAACAATGAAGAGTTTTTTTCTTATTTGGAGTTTAAGATTAATGAATACTATAACAAATGTAATGCTCATTTAACTAATGTTAACTAATGGATCTTGTTGTAAATCAGTGGTATGGGAACCCATGGCTTACGAGCCACATGTGGCTATTTGACCAAAAATACATGGCTCTTTAGCGCCTCTGTCTTTAATAATATTTTACAGTTAAAAAATTAGAATCGTCATTAGAAATCAGTTTAAATTTGATCAGTTAAAGTTCATTGGTGCTGTGTATAAAGGTGAATTGTGACTCCAATAAAGGGGAAGCAACTTCTGTTTTTATGGTAACCTTGTGCTTGTAAATTCAAACACAATTCATGGGTGGTGATGGCGAAAAATAAATACTTCCTTATATTGCCCTTTCTTCATTCATGGACTTGCTCAATGTGATGCTTCATATTTGTTTATTTTTGAGTTTTGAATGGACATAAAGATTTAGTTTAAACCTGTATACAGTAATATAGGCACCACTGTGACGCAGTGGGTAGCACAATCCCTTTACAGCAAGAAGGTCGCTGGTTCGAACCCCAGCTGGGTCAGTTGACATTTCTGTGTGGAGTTTGCATGTTCTTATCGTATTCACAAGGGTTTTCTCCGGATGCTCTGGTTTCCCACATAATCCAAAGACTTTCGCTATTGGTAAATTGAATAAGCTAAATTGGCCATAGAGTATGTGTGTGAATGTAAGTATGTATGGGTGTTTCCCAGTGCTGGGTTGTGGCTGGAATGGCGTCCGCTGTGTAAAACATATGCTGGATAAGTTGGCGGTTCATTCCTCTGTGGTGACCCAAGATGAATGAAGGAACTAAGCTAAAAAAATGAATATATATATATATATATATATATATATATATATATATATATATATATATATATATATATATATATATATATATATATGTTAAAAATATATAAATAATAATTAAATAATATAAATATAAATATTACCCACTTTGCTAAAAAAGGTTCCCAACCCCTGTTGTAAAGTGTTTCCAGAAGTACTTTATTCACTTCTTAAATTTTTATCATGTGATTTTATCATAAAAATAAAAAATCTGTTTTTAATGCAAATTAAACTGCCTCAGACCCTGTTGTGCTATTCTTTCTGATAAATAAATATGTATTTTAAGATTAAATATATTTTGTCCTGTGTATTTGGGATGCCTTTATTTAATAAGAATCACAAATTTATAAAAATATTAAAACTAATTCTTCTGATTCTAAATCACTGTTCTTAATTATAACAAAATACTGACTTGCTTTTATTGTCCTCGTTTGTACTGTAAGTCTCTTTGTATAAAAGCACTTGCTAAATGAGCGTGTAAATGTAGCAATGATTTAGCATTTAAAAAAACACACTTTTACTGTCAGTTATCGACCATAACATAAAACAAATTATCGCCTTATGTTGTCAGCTAGAATTATAACCCAATAAAACAAACCCTTGTTTAACTGGTGGCAGTACAAAAGCCGTTGATGATTACAGTTGTATATTACTGATTGGTCTATTTATAAAAATTGTCTACAGTACATTTAAAGCATTAACCTGCCTGGGGGACTACAGGTGGAAACTATTACTTTTCCTCTAAGCTGACTCTGTCTTGCCTATGGTTGTTCTAGGTCAAACGTACTGTTGTGCATTGTCCCTGTTTAAGAAACATAATAAAATACTATACTATACTATATTATACTATACTATACTATACTATACTATATTACAACTATAACTATACCCACACAAAGCTGGAGCACAAACAGAAGTGTTCATCCGCCCTCATAAAACTGATATCTCCAGCCATCAGAGTTTAGCCAGATCTCGCAGACAGAATAAGGTCAGACTGTGTGTACGGCACAAGATGTTCTTCAGTATCTAAACCATATCTTATCGCTTTGGTATCCAGCTTCAGTCGCACTCACTTTATCTGTGGCATCTGCTGGTATTAGTCCTGTACCTCTCCTTCTGTATCTGTTCATCCCTTGTTTTTTTCATCCTCGGTTTTCCCGTTATCATCAATCTGTTTTATTTGAGGGTGTGTTTGTGGTTTTGGAAGAGTTTAAAGTCGTCTTGGGAATGGAGCGCCATTGTTTTCCCTCTGATTGGGTGTCATTGTTCTTTGCAATTGGGCTTTCAGTTGATGGTGCCTGGGCTTTTTCTCTTTCCTCCCCATTTCTGTCAAAGGAGAAAGGGAGCGGAATAAAGCTCACTTGTTCCCCTGTTGTTATCGGCTCTTTTCTCCTTCAAATTTGATCATTTTCTGTCTCCAGCTCTCTCTGTGCAGCTCTTTCTTTCCACGTTCTCAAGGTTTCACGTCTCTTTGCGTTGTCTTTAGTGTAGATAAACGCTATTGTGTTGATCTGGTTGGCGTCCACTCTCATCTCCAGAATCGGTTAAGATTATTTTCCCAAGTTCTTACTATATCTCGTCTGGAGTAAGATGGTCAGATAGATTTTGGACAAGTGGTTTGTTATTGTTGGCTTAAAGATATTTTGGTTGTTTGAGCTTTTAAAGTGTTCACAAATAATGTAATTCTCAATTGAAGAGTGATATTAATATTCAGGCAGAATAAGGGTATGTTTGCACAGCGTTTACGTATATGTACTAAAAGCAGATAAGTTTTAGCTTTGTGTTTGGAAAGTTTCTCATTCACTCTACCCCATTGTCAAACAAATCCCTATTCACGCAGATCCACAAAAGCGACTATAAATGCAGAATTATTCATGCCAGGCAAGTCGTTTGACAATGGCACTTTTTGAAGAAAGACTACGTGTTTGTGCACATACAAACATTGTTTTTGTTTTCAAGTATTGAAACCTGTTTTTCAGTTTTCATTTAAATCAACGGTCACAACAAACTAAAGGTTTTCCCTTAGATAAATATTAGATTTATTGAAAACTCTGCTATGTTCATGCCCACTTAGAAAAACTTAGAAAAAGTGTTTTAATCTTTTTCCAAGAAACAATACATTCTTTTTAAACTTGACTAAATAAACATTAACAAACACAAAAATCTTTTTTATATATACAACAGATGAAGAAAGCAGGGTATCTGTAGGGTCTTAAAATCTTTCAATTTCAAAAGCCAAATTTTAGGCTTTAAAGGGGTGGTCCACTACGATATTATATTTTAAACTTCAGTTGATGTGTAATGTAGCTGTGTGAACATAAACAGCATCTCTGAATGTAAAATATTCAAAGTTTAATGCAAAGGGAGACCTTGATTTGTACAGAGTTAGCTTAGCAACGCCTACAATTAACGAATTTTGGGGACTACAAAAAATACTTCCGCCCCCTGTGAGATCACAAAAGTTCGTTATTGCGCATCCCACACTGCGCAGGTAAAGGCCGTGGCCATAGGCGCTGTAACGTTACTGCAGAGAGAGAAATGCCATCCTGCTGTTTCCACAGAGCTGTTCTGTTTCTGTTGTTGGGCTTCCAAATGACACGACCCAAACACAGAAGTGCTTACAGTTCAATATTAATTATGTTCCAGAGAACTATAAAATACATAGCAAGCATGATTTGACAAAACACAGCTTCCAGAATCTCTCCCAGTTCAGTGCTGGATTCAGTTAAAATCTCCTCAAAGATGGAGCAAGGAGACGCTGTGAACTCTGAGTCATGACCTGTAAGTGTTTTTATTTGTTAAAATTGATCATGACATGTACAGTGTCTAGCTTTAACGGTGTGTTGTAGCAAAGATGTAAACAACGGGAAATTATGGTAACCGCTAACGACTTAGCTAACGTTACAAATCTATATTTATCAAACGGCTGTAAACGCACACACACACATACACATACACGCACTCT